TTTGAAAGAGAATTTAAAAATCGTAAAAGACACACTAGGAGAGTTAAGCTAGTTTTTGATAAAGGTAAGAAATCACCTGATATGAATATAAGTGGAGAGGTATTTGGCGGTGTCTTGCTCTAGTAATTCCATGCGTGGTGTTGTTTTTAGTAGGTTTACCTGCTAGACCAAAAAGCCCTCTAGACCCTAGGAAGGATGGCGAGGCCCTCTCGTATTCAATGCTGCCCCTGAGTGACGGTCCAGAAGGCTCAAGCAGTCGGCCTCAGGTAAGCAGCATGAGACATCGAAGCAGGGAAATCTGAATCGTAGACAAAACGCTTCAACATTTTACTGGTTTGTGTTCTTTGCAAATGAAGCAGTCTTTCCCTCAGGCCCCGCCCCGAGGCAGCCCCGCCCCACGTCCAGCCCTCTTCGCGCTCCCAGACCGGCTCCCCGGAGCTGGGGCTGGAAGCGCCACTCCGAGTCCGCTTCCGGTCATTTGCGACCCCCTCCGTTGACTTCCGGCCTCACCGCCCGGTTTCGGGAACAGAGGCGATGATGTCACATCCGCCGTGTCAAGCACGCGTGACCGGCAGTCTGAAGCCCGGGTAGGAGCACGTGGGCCCTACCTCGAGACCCGCCCCTTGAACGCGGAATTGCACCAGAATTCCACTCCCTGTCCCCAGATGTTCTTCTCATTTATCCATCAGTCACAGCACTCAATAAGTTGCCCAGTACTTGTTACAAAATTAATGAAATCTAAGGTCCACCACATGGTCCTCTAGGTCTCTCGTATATAAATAATTCTCACTGTAATCTTTAGATGGTATTGTCACCATTTTGTAAATTAGAAACTAAGGTTGACCAAAATTGTATCACTGCCATAAAGCAACTTTCTGTGTCCCTTCTGGACACCCGACTCCAGGATCTCGACTGCTTCTCCCAGCCCATATTTCTTCAACAGATGACAATGGAAGAGCCAAGACAGTGGACTACCTCAGGGAATTGATTAGAAATATTTCCCAAGCGGGGAAATTCCATGAATGCATTCCCCTACCTCCTCTGAAGTCATCATTAGCACTCCTTAAAACAAGTTTCTTGTAAAATAATCTTTAAGACTTGTGGTTGGCCGGGCTCAGTGGCTCAGCCTGTAATCCCAGCACTTTGGGAGGCCAGAGTGGATTCTCTGAGCCTGCGGGCTCAAGAAGTGCCTGGGCAACTTGATGAGACCTCATTTCTACAATAAATCAAAAATTAGCTGGGCGTGGTAGGGCGCGCCTGTAGTTCCAGCTACTTGGAAGGCTGAGGCAGACGGATCGCCGAAGCATAGCAGGTCGAAACTGCAGTGGCCGGCAACAGTCGCTGCACTCCAGTCGGAGTGACAGAGTGAGACTGCAACTCAAAAAAAGAAAAAAAGACTTGTGGTCTACAAATTGGAGGAAACCATTTCCTATCACTAAAACAATGAGAAATTTTTTAAAGTGCTGTCAGCTAAAAAGCAGCAGCCTTTAGTATGAGAACACCCGACCTTATAGCTATTTCTACCCAAGAGGGACCCCACTGGCACTGATCACCACTTATTAACTAGGTCTACTAAAATGTGATGACAGGCCGGGCTCGGTGGCTCAGCCTGTAATCCCAGCACTTTGGGAGGCTGAGGTGAGTGGATTGCCTGAG